CGAACTCTGATGAATGTTTTTAATTAATCATGCTTTTAGAATGTTTGGATTTAAAGATATATGTGTTTTAACTGTATTGAAAAATGAAATTTTTACCCAATCACAATAATTAAGGTCAAGCATGTAACTAAATGTCAAATCGAACGTATAAGTACGAGTTCATACCATTAACTTCCAATTAAAAGAAGCTAAGTATAGTTATAACATACCTTTTAGAATATCAATATGGATTTCATACCCTTATTCCTAAATCATGCGGACTTCATACATTTTACAACAACAATAAAGGTTTCATACACATATTAATAAATCATAGAGACAAATATGGATTTCATATCTTTATTGCTAAACTCATAGCAAACATTGAGGGGATAAAATGGGAGCCTATAAGATCCAATTTTTTATTATATATTTTTATTTAAAAATAAAATTTTATAATAACAATAATGACCCATTTTTTTTGGTTCGTCTAGGACCCTTGATGATATTTGATTTTTTAGGATCCATACTGACTAAATTATAATGAATTCATACACTTTTTCATAGACTTTAAATTTTCACATACCATTTAAATTTTCACATACAAGGGCTTGTAAAAATCATAACTATTTGGATAATTTCAATAATTTTTTGTTGATTTAAAAAAATTATAAGATTAGTCATAATTTTTCTGTGAACTATATTTTAAAATATTAGACAAGTGTTGCTCTTACATCAAACAAAACCAAGAACCTACCATTAGTTTTCATGTCGACGAGGTTTTGCATATTATATTATATGATAATAATAATAATAACTAGCAAGTTAATCCTCTTTAATTTAGAAACTATGTGCTGGGAAGGTTTTCATTATTTAAGTGATTTATATAAATTTAGAAAGTTAACCAATTGGGATAATGACAAGTGGACCGTAGACCATAGTGGTATTTAATGGCTATTTTAATAATGTCTGTACAAAAACATATAATTACTTTTTAACTTAAAAACTCGAATCCGTACATTCGGGTTTCCCCTTTCTTTCTTTGCCTATAAAATCACCCCCTTCCCACACTTGTCTTTCTCATCTCCTTCCGTTCACTCCCTTTTCTCCATCGTCAACATTACGCTCACTTTGCTGTTGAAAGCCAAGTTAAAAGGTGTGATGTATGTAACGTTTTCTGCTATATTTTGTCTATGTTCAATCAGGATGATCAAAACTACTTTATTTCCATTTTTAGTTTCTGTAGCATTTACCTCACGTTTTTGTACACAACTTCATCACCATATTTTAGTTCCCTTTTGATTTCTCTGCTATATATGTAGCTCAATCCTTGTATATAACCTCAACTTAAGATTCATCCTTGAGCTTGTGCTTACCAGTTTTGATAATGAATTTATTAAGTGTCTACTTCGATTTAGTACATTGTTAGGTAATTTCAAATTTGAGATTCATCACAGTATGTCCGCCATTGAATTGCTTTTGCTTTCTTACTTAATCTAGACTGTTAGACTAATAAAACAAAGACGCCCAAACATTTGTGTTTCTTCTTCAAATTAATTTCCTCTGTATTTTGTTAATTAAATTCATCTAAATGCTTCCTTCTTCGCAGTTGATAATCCCTCTGATTTAGTAAGATAAGTAAATTCGTGGTCGATCATGGCGGAAAAAGTTTTCACCCGCTCACACAGTTTCCGAGAGCGTCTGGATGTTACTCTTGCATCCCGTCGTAATGAAACCCTAAAGGTTCTTGCAAGGTATGTTGTGCTTTCTGGGGACTATCTTCTCAGCTACAATTTTTAGAATCGATTTAATGTTTGTTTATTCTCAATTAATATCCAGCTACAATTTTTACTTTTTTAGAATCGATTTAATGTTTGTTTTTATTCATTTAATATCCTCAAGGATCGAAAGCCATGGAAAAGGAATATTGAAGCCTCATCAACTCATGGATGCGTTTAATGCAGTCTGCAAAGAGGATTCCGAATTCTATGATAGTTCCTTTCATGAAGTTCTCAAATCAACACAGGTATATGATCGAATAAACACACACAAAAATCATGATCATGCATCCGACTGAATATCTGTTTTTTTTATGTGTTGATAGGAAGCTATAGTGTTGCCTCCATGGGTTGCATTTTCTATTCGTTTGAGACCTGGTGTTTGGGAATATGTAAAAGTTGATGTAAATGCACTGATCATTGAAGAATTAAGTGTTCCTGAATATCTTCACTTGAAAGAAGAACTCGTTGATGGATCGTAAGTATCATCATCATCTTTTTATCATTGGATTCGAATTCACAATTACGTATGTTTTACAATTTCCGATTGATTGCAGCTCCCATGACAACTTTGTACTGGAATTGGACTTCAAACCATTCACAGCTTCTTTCCCCCGCCCAACCCTAACCAAGTCCATTGGAAACGGGGTTGAGTTTCTGAACAGGCATCTCTCTGCTAAAATGTTTCATGACAAAAATACCATGAACCCTCTACTTGATTTCCTTCGTACCCACGCCCACAAGGGAAAGGTATTAATTACACTCAAAACCCTAAGAATTCTTCTTCATTAATTGTTTTATTAGAGTTCTGGACCAACAGCTTTGAGTTTTGGTGATTTGCAGACGATGATGCTGAATGACAGAATCCAAAACCTGAATGCTCTTCAATCTGTGTTAAGAAAGTCATCTGAGTACCTATCTACGCTCGATGCCACCACTCCATACTCTGAATTCGAACATAAGTTTCAAGAGATTGGATTGGAGAGAGGTTGGGGTGATAAAGCAGAGGGTGTCGTGGAGATGATCCATATGCTACTTGATCTTCTCGAAGCTCCTGATGCAAGCACTCTCCAGAAATTTCTTGGAAGAATTCCTATGGTTTTCAATGTCGTTATTCTTTCTCCCCATGGTTACTTCGCTCAAGAAAACGTTTTAGGCTACCCGGATACCGGTGGTCAAATTGTTTACATTCTCGATCAAGTTCCTGCTTTAGAACATGAGATGCTCAAGAGGATTAAAGAGCAAGGACTTGATATTGTTCCCCGTATTCTCATCGTAAGTCCCCTTAATTTCTTCTTTTCTCCTTTCAAAATTTTCGATACTTAACCGATGTTATGATGAACAGGTGACAAGGCTCCTCCCTGACGCCGTCGGAACCACCTGCGGGCAGCGACTCGAGAAAGTGTTCGGAGCAGAGCACTCTCATATTCTTCGAGTTCCGTTTAGAAACGAAAAAGGTATTCTTCGTAAATGGATCTCTCGCTTTGAGGTGTGGCCATACATCGAGAATTTCACCGAGGATGTCGCCAAAGAAGTCACCGCCGAGTTGCAGGCGAAACCCGATTTGATCATCGGAAACTACAGTGACGGGAACCTTGTCGCCTCTTTGCTCGCTCACAAATTGGGTGTAACTCAATGCACAATCGCTCATGCCCTTGAGAAAACCAAATACCCTGATTCCGATATCTACTGGAAGAACTTCGATGAGAAATACCATTTCTCCTCTCAGTTTACTGCTGATCTTATCGCCATGAATCACACCGACTTCATCATCACCAGTACCTTCCAAGAAATCGCCGGAAGGTAAAAAAAAACATATTCTGGTCAGTGTTTTTGATTACCCTGTACGAATTACGAAACCCTAATTTTGATTTTGTTTCAGTAAGGACACAGTTGGACAGTATGAGAGCCATACAGCTTTCACAATGCCGGGATTATACAGAGTCGTCCATGGAATCGACGTCTTTGACCCTAAATTCAACATCGTTTCACCCGGTGCTGATATGGGGATCTACTACTCTTACACTGAGAAAGAAAAGAGGCTCACATCACTCCACCCTGAAATCGACGATCTCCTCTTCAGTTCCGTCGAGAACGAAGAACACTTGTACGTTTTGCATTGCATATTATACATTCTCAATTCTTTTTATCATTCCAATTCATAATTTGAATGAATACGAATGGATGTTACAGATGTGTGTTGAAAGACAAAAACAAGCCGATTCTGTTCACAATGGCTCGACTGGATAATGTGAAGAACTTGACCGGACTTGTTGAGTGGTATGCGAAAAACGATCGGCTTCGTGAGCTGGTGAATCTGGTGGTGGTCGGCGGTGACCGGAGGAAGGAATCGAAGGATCTGGAAGAGCAAGCTCAGATGAAGAAGATGTACGATTTAATCGAGGAGTACAAGTTAAATGGTCAGTTTAGATGGATTTCTTCACAGATGAACCGGGTTCGAAACGGCGAGTTGTATCGTGTGATTGCTGATACGAGAGGCGCTTTTATTCAGCCGGCGTTTTATGAAGCCTTTGGGTTGACGGTGGTGGAGGCCATGGCGTGTGGGCTGCCGACGTTTGCAACGCTTCACGGTGGTCCGGCGGAAATCATCGTTGATGGAAAATCCGGGTTTCATATCGACCCGTATCATGGAGACCAGGTGACCGAGCTTCTTGTCAAGTTCTTTGAGAAGACAAAAGCTGACCCTTCTCACTGGGATGCCATTTCCAAGGGTTCGGAGCAGCGAATTCAGGAGAAGTAAGATAACAGATAACTCATGTTTCTCCAATGTACTAATTAGTATCATAAACATGTGTTAATTAACCTTTTTTTTTTCAAAATAACAGATACACGTGGCAGATATACTCAGATAGGCTATTGACGCTTGCTGGAGTTTATGGATTCTGGAAACACGTGTCGAAGCTTGACAGGCTTGAGATTCGTCGCTATCTTGAAATGTTTTTTGCTCTAAAATATCGCAATTTGGTAAGTTTTTCTTTTTAATTTACTATATTTTTTAGTTTTTTTATATATAAATATATTTATAAATATATTTAATGTATGTTATGTAAGCAAGGGATGTGATTTTTTTTTTCAGGCTGAATCTGTGCCGTTGGCTGTTGATGAGTAAGTGAAGGAGGAATCATCTGGTGGTGAAGCGGTTTGAGGAGTTGTGCTCCACACATATTTTAGATATAAATATTTCTGAAAAATAAATAAAGTGAAGAGAGTATTTTAAAAGGCTTTTTGTTTTTTTTGCTTTCGCCATTGTGTGTGTGTGTGTGTTTAATTTGCCTCATTCCTATTTCATTGCCAACCATTTGTGTAATTCACTCCTGCCTTTTGCATTGGCCTTAAATTTGTACTTTTAATGAATATTTTTTGTTCACTTTTATATTATGTGTATACTAGATTATATATCTATATCCAATGTGTGTGTGTGTGACAGTTGGAAGTAGGGACCAAGTTTGGAGATTCTTTAGAATTGCTTTGAAACAAGAAGCAATTGAACCTCTCGTTTAGAATAAATATTAAAGAGCATGACCACCAAATTTATGCCTTTCTTTTCCGTCTTGCCTAACATGTATTATGCTAATGTGCATAGGGTTTATTGCTTTTGTATATAGACGAGCATTAATTATAAATAGTTATAAGAAAAATGATCGACAAGTCTTACAAATCATATAACTATATAAATTTATATATAAGTATTATCATTCTTCTGTTTCAATTATTTTTATAACATGTTTCAGACTTCTCATAATATTAACGAATTTAGCTTATATATAAATAAATTATATTTATGGATCTATTTTTATTTTGGCACAAACTCTTCAAAATTGATAAAACGCCTTGATCAACACATATACATAACTTTGCGTGTAAGACTAATTTGTTGATCCTAAGGCTTGGGTTTGCATTTGAACGTGTTAGATCAAAAGAATAGATACATGTGAGCCCGCATCCCTTCCCTTCTCATACCTGGGGGTCCCGATTGGTGCAAATATGAACCGGATTGCCACATGGCAGCCGGTCATTGATAAACTAAAACGCAAGTTATCAAGTTGGAAGGCGAAAACTCTCAGCTTTGGTGGTAGAGTCACCCTCGCAAAGACAGTCCTTGGTAGCATTCCCACATATTTTTTGACCATATTTAATGCCCCTATTGGAGTTATTAACTCGCTCGAGAAGATCCGAAGACAATTCTTCTGGGGCGGTCCAAATTGTAACAGGAGTATTAACTGGGTTGCGTAGGGGAAAATCATCGCTCCAAAAACGGTGGGTAGTCTTGGTTTGGGATCAATAAGATCATTAAACCTTGCACTACTTACCAAATGGTTATGGCGATTGAATAATGAACCAAATGCATTGTGGGTAAAGATTATCAAGGGGCTTCATCGTTTCAATGGAGAGGAACAAGGCTCTTGCCTTAGAAGTCGTTGGATTGGGGTCTGGAGAAACATTGTTAAGTGCAAGGCCATCCTAGATAGAATAAACATTCCATTTGATGAGGTAATGAAACCGGGTATACCAGGACAGGGATGGATTTCTCCATTCGTCGTGAATGCAGAATTTTGTGTGGCTCTATTCCGTGACAGGATTGAAAGGGCAGATTTCCCTGTTTGCGACGGAAGTTTCCCATGGCTGAAAATGCTTCCTCTGAAAGTTCTTGGATTTGTTTGGCGTGCTAAACAAAACAAAATAGCCTCATCTAATGCCCTCCAAAAAAGGGGCATTTTATTGGAATCGTCCTTATGTGAAGCATGTCGCGAAGCTGAAGAGACAGGAGATCATCTCCTGGTAGCATGTCCTCTGGTAAAGGTTATTTACCAGTCGATCTACAAGTGGTGTAATATCCAGGCGACAGAATTCCAGTCGGTAAACAACATGATTGAGTTTGCCTCCAAATGGGGAAATTGCCCAAAAAAAAGGAAATCGTTAATCACGATACTATTCGGCACTCTATGGTGTATATGGAGGGCTAGGAATGATAGAATTTTCAACAAAGCTCAATGGCAACCGGCGAAAATTGTTTCTATTATACAGTCTCAAACTTTTAATTGGATTAAATATCGTGGTGATAGGGCAATGTTAGAATGGAGTATGTGGATTAATAACCCACTAAATTGTAACTGATTAAATGTAACAATTTCGACTCACTAGCTACTTGCTGGTGGGGTTGATTACTCAATAAAATTGATTTTTGCCGGTTCAAAAAAAAAAAAAATTAAATACAAGTGCAAGTACATCAAACAAAAAGAGCTAATTAATATTTTTATTTTGTACATTTTTTATTGTCTTAAAAACAACCAAACATATAAAAATTAATAATTTTTGTACTCTATAATTAAATATTAATATCGATATATTTTTTTCATGCAAAGCAAAATTTTGTTACAATATTCATAGTTTAACGAATATAGTATTTATTAAATCATTACTGTTGTAACGTAATATTTTATATGAAAAATAGATTGATCATGATACGTAGTTATTAATATAACAAATTGTTTTTAAATAATAGACAAACCTTAAAAAAAAATTTAAAATATGATGTGAACTTAAAAAACTATCAAAACGGTATCTAAAATGTTTTGATCATACCATTGAACTAAAAAAGAAAGACATGAAAATGTAACACTATCACGTTTGTGTTTAAAATACCATTGTGACCAGAAGAAAAGGCAGCCGCAAATCATAATGGTATCTTAAAAACAAAAGTTAAAATTTGTTACCTTTTGCTCACATTTTTTTAGTTTAATGATATTTTAAAAATACTTTATTATGACATTAACCCTTGTTCATATCCTCTCTTTTACCCGCCTACCCCTCTCATACATATTTTATTTAGTAATTTTTAATTTATATATCCCATCAAATCTATACCATTTTTAAAACACAATTAGAAGTGTATCTATTCGCGAAATGATATAGTTTTAGGTAAGAAAAAGGTTGTCGAACACTTGGCGAACGAGAATGATTTCAGATTAAAAAGATCTACTAAAAGTAAAGTAATTAAATAAAGTAAAAGAGAGGGTTATTCTCATTTTGCAAGTTCAAAAAACTTAATAACAATCAACTTTTGAAATACTTTAAAACAAGCAAGTACTTAAACTAGAGACAAAGCAGGTAACGGTTTTGAAAACAAGATTTAAAGAGTACTTTTGTTTTGATTCGATTCACGTATTCCTAGGTTGATTTATGAGTAGTGCAATGGATATAATTTTGTCGATTCCTAATATGACTAGAAATAATGATCAACTTACTAATCCTTTGATTTAAGACTAGCTATTCAGTGATCAAGTGGACAGATAATCAAATAAAGTAGTAGTGTTTAGTTCGAATGTTGCAAGACTTGAATGCTAAATTGATATTAATGATAGTAAATACCATTTTTATATATGAATGTTCATCATATATTAACTCACACTTTGAAGTTATCAACTTATCTATTTAACCATAGGTTTTTGGTTAAAACCCTAGTCCTACAATTTTATACTTCATAATTCAAGCACGTCAAGATAGATAGAAAATCTAATCCTAACAATACTCATCAATAAACAGAAAAGATTGAAACCTTAACACATAAGGATCTTTATCAATTAAGCATAATGAACAAACAACTAGATTAAAACCTTAACACATAAGGATCTCTCCTTTGTTACTTTCTGTTTTAATTTGCTTTCTGCATACAATGAGGACATTGTATGAAATAAGTGTGAGGTAGAGTCGAAAAAGGATTTTAATTATTAAGGAGTTTTTTATGCTAGATTTAAAAATTTTAGAAAAGAAAAAAAATTAGACTTGCAAAAATAGTCTAATTCAGAAAGTCTAGTACATTTTTAAAATTTTGATATTGTTGCGTTAGGACTAGTTTGCTAGTGTTGTGTGAGATGATTCGATGCGAGTTATAAGATTTAGTTGAGCCAATATGTTATTGTGTATTTGTGGATTTCCAATTCTAGTGAAATCATGGGACAAAAACGCGACTTTGTGTGGTTTGAGGGACATAAAAAGCTTAACATTGTGTACCAAAAATGTATCTATGAAAGCTTATATAGTCATTGCACTCTAAACTAATACCTTTAATCAATAAGGGTTGAAGTTAATGTAACAACCGTGTCAGTTATGAGCTAATATGTTAAAGTATAATTTTATTTTTGGGTGGCCACGACGTGGTGGACCTTCACCACGATGTGGCGATTGTTTTCTTGGTCACGGGGTTTAATGACCATCCACGGCATGACATGTGATTTTAGTGAAACCCTAGATTTCCTGGTTGAACCCTTATTTAAAGGAATGATGAGGCTAGGCTTTGCTCGCCCTCAGCCTCCATCAACCACATAAAGCTCTAAAGAAAACCCCAACCTCTTTTCTCCATCATTAAAGCCCAATTTTGTTGTTCTTGGAAGTTTGTAAGAGACAAAGAACAAGATGAAGTTAAGATCCAATAAGCAAGTCTCCATGCCTTACCCTAACACTCTTCTGGACCTTTGTAAGTGTTCAAGACTCGATTTTTATCATGCTAGATTGCTAGATCTTGATTTTTAGCCCATAATCTTCTTGTTATTGATAGTTGGAATGGTGATACTTCATAAAGGTTTCAACTTTTTGAATCTTTAGAACATTTAGTATGATTGTGGTTTGGATCTGAAGTGTAGTTAAGTCTTTAAGCCATGCATGAGAATTTTATCAAAAACCCATATCTTGGACCCATTATAGCTTCAAGAAATGCATATTTCATGTATGCCTATAAAGCACTCATCTTTATGCTAGATCTAGTACTAGTAACATTTATGGAGTGGGTGGGTGAAGGACCTTTTCGGAATAAGGGATTAATAGTTAAAACATTGTGGTATTTAACCTTATTTGGACCTAGGGTTTGGGATTTTGACATTTAGGGTGGTTTTATTGGATAAAGTTGGAAACCCTAAATTTATCCTTCTAGACCATGTTTTAGACCAGATCTGAGCTTTGGAGCTCTTGGAATCAAAGAAAATGGCTTAACCCATTAAATTGTTGGAAACCCAGTGTCCATTGTGTGACCTTAGATCGCCACGGTGTGGCGAATAGGAAATTCCCTTCCGTCAATCGTATGAGGGCCAAGACGTGTCCAAGAAAGGCTACGACATGACGTTTGACTAAAGATAATGTTAACCGTTGACTTTTGACTTGATTTGATTTTTGGTCAGATTCCTAGTTTTGGAAGAAAAACTGAGGGTTTACCTTGTGTAATGGTACATAGCCTCGGTATGTCTGGAAGTGATAGTAGTAGCAGCTGAGTATCGACAAAAAGGTTAGCCTCTTCACTTTACTTGTGGTTCGAAGGCACCAATATTGACCCACTAGATTATGGTCGTAGGGTGATAGTTGTCTTTGTGACACTTTTTATGCTTGTATGTGCTTGTTGTGTTTCTGACTCTTCATGATATGATTGTATACTCAGATATAGGGGTGAATTAGACTTGTACCA